GTGGTCACAATGTAGACATTGTCCAGGAAAGCGACCAAGCATTCACCCGGCTGCAGCCGAGCGCATACAAGGCTGGGGCCAACGCGTCGCCCTGCTCGCAGCCTTCACCATGGTGGATGCTACGCCGGGCGCTGGTGGCATCCCACGATGCAGTGGAGGTGGACTCCTGTCCGTACCACAGGCGGACGAACGGCACCGGCCGGGGCGACCTCACGCAGTTTGCACCTGAATGCTGCACGTGAGATGGTGTCGTAAGCACAGCGGCCATCGAGTGAAACGACCGTGGCGTCAGTGAACGCAAAATCTACGTAGATTGCCAACAGTCGGCGGCATGGAGGCCCGCAAGTATGGAACCGCACCCTCAACATCAACAGTCTGAGCATCAGGGCGACCCAAGGGGGGTTCAACGGCACATCACGGAAGTGCGCACGCCGGCGTCGCGTCCCGTTTGCTGCCGTCTGTTGGATGTGCGCGGTACTCCCGAACTGGGCTTTCTTGCGAAATAGCAACACAGCAACCACCTCCAGTCTTTCATAGTCTTTCGCTAATTTGGGCCCAGCTGACGTGCAGCCACTTGCCGGCCGCGGACAAACAGAGGAAGGAAAGGGATGCACAAAAACAGCATGCCGATTCAAGCGGAGCACATCATCCAGCGATGTCTCTGGGCTAGCCAAGCGACGCTCCCCACACATGCGGCGAATGGACAGCTCAAGCAGGGGGCCGCGAGCATCCGAGACCACTGAATTCCGCCGCCGTGCCCAACCTCTGCGCAGCCGCCCGGAGCGGTGCCGTGACTGCTTCGCGGTGCAGGAGACGTACTCAAGGAGGCGGCAGCTTCCTCTCTTCGCTGCAGACGCGCCTGCCGAACTCTATATCCAGCAAGATGAGCAGATATGAGCAGTGTGCGTCGGGTTTCGAGATCCGCGGGTAGGTTTGGCGCCGTTTGCGGCGGGTGCGTCTTGCAGGGTGGCTGCGGCGCGGGTATCCTTTCCGGATCGTGCGGTGCCGGCTCGGGTGAAACTGGGCTGACGATCGCGGCATCGATCGCGAGCCGAGCGCCGTGCCACCAGAACAGGCCATTCGCGTCACCTCAATGAATGCCACGTGAATTGCTTGACCCGGAACATACAATGCTCATGTCTGCGATTCGATAATTCCGTTGAGGAATGTTGAGGATGGGGAGCATCAGGAGGTGCGCCGATGGCACTACCATGGCCGGGGGATGTACACAACGGAGGCACGGACTGCACGAGGTCTTGCTTGCCAGAACAGCAGCGCACGAGACGCGGGATCAAAGTGAGAAAGGTGTCTGTCGAAAGTGCGCTCATCACAAGCGGAAGCAGCGGCACGATGCCAGCGCTTGCGCGGAGCCGGCGCAGCAGAGGTCTCGCCCAGAGTGGAGTGGCCATGCCAGCATGCGAAGCCTTCAAGCTGGCCCCCAAGACTGAACTTTCCATCCTGGAGTGCGAAGCTTGTACAGATGGCTGCCAAAGTTCTGGTTGCGAGCAGCCCTCTGGAGCAGGAGGCGCGCGCTCCTTCCCGCGATGGGCGACAAGACATGCATCGGGTCACGCACGCACCACTGTTGGCTTGTGAGTGTCCATGCCACAGTAAGGTCCACAGAGTGCTGGGAAGTGGAGGTGGGCGTCCAGATAGGCTTAGCTCATGTGCGTCCGGCATAAGGTCGAGCAGCCAAAGGCAGTGGGCATCCGAGGATGAAGCTCCTTGCCTACGCAAGAGGGAAGTCTTTCATTTTTCCGGGCAAGCCATGATATTACACGTGCTTGCTGAAGGCATGGGATTCTGCCCTCATGGTGAGACTAGCTTGACAACGAGCCACCTCACACGATGGCTTGCAACAGGAGGAACATCAGTCCACTGACCTCAGAGCCGGGGCAGTTCAGTGCGATGCCTCTTTGAAGGAGCCCTTTAAGGGCCGCTCCACGGCTCTGTCTGATGAAGCAACAGCACAAGAAGGCAGGCAACCTGGCAAGGTCCCACGGTTACATGCAGCTACAGCCCGAGCTGCATGCTTGCAACTCAGACTCACCCTCGAAAGTGCGTTGCCGATTCTGAGATCCGGGCGTTCGGCACACGAGCATGGGGAGCCACTCACGAGCTGCACAGAAGGACCGAAGGTCTCAGGCATTGGGTGAAGAGTCTTCTCTCTCACACCGATGGCAGAGGGGCACATTGCATACTGACTGGGCGCTTCATGGAACGTCTGAGCGAAGGGCACCGTTGAGCTCCAAACGGCCAACAAGCGAGACCTGTCGATTGGGCTGTAAGGAGAAGCCTTTTCCCAAAACTGACGAAAAACCTTCAACTGTATGCTGTATGCTGCACAAAATCCCGTCCGGCCTGGAGTGTGGAACCAGGACACATCACCGCACCCAATCCGTCATTGGCAATCTCGTGCGTGACAACCTCTGAAAAAGCCAAGACCACAGTTCAAAGAGGAAACGACAGGCTCTTCCATCCACTTCGAAGCTCGTGGGCAGCGCCTCCCCGCCGCAGTTAAATGACAGCGCTGTCGGCGCCTGTTCGGCGGCATCGCAGGCTAGCGACACCTTGATGGACGATTTGGCTGCAAAAGAAATCCATGGCATGTGGCTCTACGACTTTACGGTATACTCCAAAGCAGCCATAGCTTGACTTCCTGAAAAGACTCGCGGCCTGCATGCCAGCACCAGGTGAGAGACGCCCGACCTGGTTCTCTCTCTCACCCGCAGATGAAAACAGACTTCACGAAGGCTCCGTGCCGTCGTGAGGGCCCGACAATGCTGCGGCTCTTTCCGGTAACTACAATCCTCATTTGTGCGCCATGCAACCGGTAACCCTCAACAAGCAGGCCGCTAGACGCAACCTGTGCACCCAGGATCCCAGCTCCGCAAGGCATTCTGAGAAGCCTGCATGCGGCATGCAGCAGGAACATCAGTGTATAGCGCTGAAGCCGCAAGGACAAGGGGCTGCAAGCGCCATCGCCTTCGTTGCTAAATCTCAAGATGCTGTGATCCGCACTGACCTTGCCAGGCTTATGCGCGTCCTGGTGTGCCCAGACACTCTGCAAACTGTCTGCATCGCTGGGCTTCCAGGCAGGCGCTGCTGAGCCTCTGCTGCAAACCGAAGCAAGGAGCTTCATAGATTTATCGCACAACCGTGTGCCAGTGGCTGTCATCGGCTTTGAATTACAACACGACGGTGCCAAAGGTCTACGTCGTGCTGGCCTCCCCGGTAGGCTACCAGCACGAAATTCTGCAGGTTGCCTGGGGCAGCCTGCGAGTGGCCAAGATGCGATTCCTGGGAGAGTGCCTTCTCATGTTTAGACCCCAGCTGTCAATCCAAAGATGTTGGAGCCAGTCTCCTGGAGAGGAGCCTCAACGCGTGGATTCTCTATGTCAACATGTCAACCTTATCCGATCACATCCAACTTCCAAGGCTGCAGCTCTTTGTGCACCGAGCAGAGAGGACGAAGATGTTGAACAGTTCTGCCAGCAATACCCGAATTCAAACCACGAAGGTCTGTTGCAAATGAACACAAGCACCGCATCATCAGTTCAGAGAGTAATCTGAAATGATAATGATCAAAGGCAAATCACCCTGCTGCATCCTGGAGTCTTGGCGGGTACGATATCGGAGCTGCTTGTGTCAAGGTTCAAAAAGAGGAGTCACCACCAGCCATCACTGCTCGCCTCTCCGGCTACCGAGGCATCGACCTGTCAGTTTTTGATCCAGTCCATGTGGTGAGCTCACGGGATCGTGTCAAGCTTAGCCAGCGGCATAGACAAAGCTCGTACCACCAGCATTCTCGCTTGAGATTTCTGAGTGAACACAAGCTGCAAGGCTGTCGCCAAAGCATGCCAAAGCCCCATGGATGAGAACGTCTTTTTTCGGGGTGGGCACGTGCGTAGCCGACGTCCTTGAAGGAGAGCGGCCTCAGTGTTGTGCGAGCGAAGTAAAAGGCTTTTACCGGCAGTGCTTTGCCGAGGTTTTTTCTTCGATGTGGTGGAACCTGTTACAGCAGTGGCCTCTGAATGTCGCTCGAATATGAGGCATGAGGATCTCCCTCATGATCAGCCTCATCTGCCTCAGCATCGGCATCGCATTAGCCTCAGCATCATCATCCTCGTCATCATCATCATCATCACCACCATACTACCATCACCATTGTCATCGTCGTCATCGTCGTCATCAGCATCAGCATCAGCATCAGCATCGGCATCATCATCATCATCATCACCATCATCATCATCATCGCCCTCATCCTCAACCTCACCATCACCATCACCACCACCAAACCAACTAGCAGGTCCACAGGTCTGGGCAGGAAGGTTCAGTCAGTGCAGTTTCCATGCAGATATATATGACGCCCCGATCCGAGCGATGTTGGAGATATAACTGTTTCGATTGCAGTTCGAGCTCGGATCCATGTGACCCGAGAATTTCACTGGGGACTTGTTAAGGTTTCGCCTGGTTCGCTCAGTGAGGTCCTGGCCCCACCGAGAACTGCAGCGAGTTCAGCCCGTAGTGGAAGCAGATTGACACGTTCTCAGGCAGTGCAGGTTGATTGCGGCAGACACAGGATGCTCCCAGACATGCACTCAGTCGCGAACATCTGGGTAGTGGTGATAGAAGGCCAGGTCGTACGCGCAAACCTCTGGCAGGCTGCTTTGCACTCGTGTTTCACCCATGTCCACGGTGCCACAGACAAGGAGGCCTGCCTTCGACCCCTGTATGACCCAAAAGAGCCAAACCTCAGCGAAACCAAACTCTCGGCCGCCTGCATCTCGAGGGCCTTCATTTCGTTTTTGCCCCCCAACACCGCCTGAGCCTCGCACTGGAAGGCCTCGCAGTCGCATGCCTCGCTCAGAGGAGTTCTCTGCAAAAGGGCCGGAAGAGCAGCTGGCGGCTGGCCTTCCCGGGCGTCTGGCTCCAGGCAATGCAGGCTTCATGGGAAAGCCACGACCAGCACCGACTGCTTTGCATCAAGCCGTGTCGTCTCAAAGTGTCTGCGCAGCTGGGTAGGTCGAATGGCTAGGGCATGCATGGGCGTAGGACTGCCTAGGCTCAGACTTGAGCCGCTGTGCAACTTGCGGCCACCCTGCAATGCATTTGATCCGGCCACTCGGCCAGTCGTTCTTCTGAGGCTGCAGGATGGTGAGTACACGCAGGCATCGCGCTTTTTTTGCCTCTGCCCCCTGAGCCATTTTTTGCGCGAAGTTGGGCGGAAACCTTCGAATTCTCGACGGCAGCGAATAAGGCATGATCGACGTGGTCTGCCAGATCCGAATGCACTCTGAGCTTGCAGACCATCCTTCCAGAGGTCCAGGGCCAGGCACCTCCTGGTGCTCTTGAGGCTTCTGAACCGGAAAGAAAAAAGGGGCTTGGACTTGGCACCCCGCACGTCGACAGAAGGCCCAGTCTGATTCCTTCGCCATATTGGTGGGCGGCGAGCTTTGGCAAGGAGGGGAAGGGACCAATGCGCAGATGCTGAAATGGGCGTACTTCCAACAGTTGAAATGCAAACATGAAGCTTTGAACATGCGATCAAAACATGAAGATCGGGTCCGATCTTCACTGGAAAGCCGTCAGGTCCCTCTAACTGAACACCACGGAATGCAAGCGGCGCAAGCGCACAAACCTTTGCGATTCTTTGTGCTCGCGCACACACACACACACATACAAAAAAAGGAAAACACAGACATCTCTTCGCCAAGCTCATATCCTCATGAGGGCCCCCCACACGTCTCCCTTCCCCTCTCCCCGCCCTCTTGTCATACATCATCTTGCAAAGAAAAAGCATGGACTAGAACGCATCGACGAGCCTCCCTCAAGAAGATGAGCACATCACCCTTCTGAAGGACCAGGTAGCTGTCACCATATCTGAGCGTCAATGTCTGCTTGGATATCCAGCGGAAGGCATAGCAGGCATATCAATGTGCGTGCATGAAAAGGCGGGGCTCAGATTCAGCTTGACGAGGTGCTCTCTGCCATCGAACTTGTGCCGAACAATCAGCTTCTGCCCAGTCGGCCCAGCTGCGCTCTGGGCCTCACAACCAGAATGGAAGTCAAATTCACAGAGTTGCGCCGTACTCCGCTTCCGGCAGCCTCGTCGACTGCTGGTGCCTCTCCTGCCGCTATGTCCTGCAGCAAGGCTGTCCCTCAGGCAGCAGTAGCGAGCGAACACTCCGTGCATGGCGTCACAGCTCCTGCGGCTGTTCCTGCGGCTCTTGCCGCGTATCGGGCTTTCGGTTCGCCTTAGAACCCCCGCACGTGACACACGTTTTGTCACATTTCTAATGGTCATCTGCGCAGCGTAGCGTGCCTTGCCTCAACCGACTGCCCATCTAATCTCGTCGTGGTAGGAGAGGATCTAGTAGCTGATGTACCAGCTGCCTCTCTTATAACGAACGCTTGTCGTGACCTGCGACTGAGAGCTCAGAAGATCTCAAGCGCCGTCGCCTCGCGAGGTAAGTTGTGCATATTCAACAAGCTGGCAAACTTGGCCATGTCTTTCTGGTGTCTTTCCTGGCAGAGAGGTTTAGGCGAGTTTCTGATGCCCAACACCTGAGAGATGCTCACCATTCTCGATGACAGTTCGCATCCGGACCTTCTGATGCTGCTGGGGAAATTCCCGAGTCTGCCAATCTTTCCTTTTCTCCTTCACAACTGCGTCAGGCACCAACAAGGCTTTATGTTTACCTCCAAAAGACTCTACGCGAGAAGCTGTGCTGCAAGACCATGCACCTGTGCACGGGCATCCAACTTCTTGTCCTGCATGCGGCTCATTGGATGTTCAACTGGCCGACAAATCGCTGATCTTTGGGCAGCCCCCCCCCCCTCCCCCTAATAACAAAAACACATAAACCCAGTGAGTACCCCAACAGCGGAGTGGTTTCATTAGGCTCACATGAAGACGCCAGAAAAGCTGAGAGAGAGCTGTAGATGAAGGCATTGACCACCCACCAGACCACCCCCACCCACCACCCCCACCCATGAAAAGATTCTGATTCGAGCGGTTCCGCGATGGGTTCCGAGAGGTTCCGGGGCGGTTTACCTACCT